AGAGAGGGGGGAGAGATAGAGAGGGGGGAGAGAGAGAGAGGGGGGGAGAGAGAGAGAGGGAGAGAGAGAGAGAGGGGGGGGAGAGAGAAAGGGGGGGGGAGAGAGAGAGGGGGGGGGAGAGAGAGAGAGAGGGGGGGGGGGGAGGGAGGAGCACAAAAATCTATTAATGGAAGCCTCATGTTTTACGAAACTGTTGCGTGGAATGCACGAGAAAAATTATTTTCATCTAAAAAGGGCATGAAAGGCAATTTTGGTGGGGGCATAAAATAAGATAAAGGCCGACGATTTACAGGTGCGAGGAGAGGTGGGGAGGAGGGCAGCAGCTGCCAGCCTCACGCCACCAAATATGTCAACACACCTGACTACACTACAGGTCCACCAGGACCACCTGCCACCCACACCACCTGGGAGCCTGCACAACTGAGGTAAAAGTTTCGCCAACTTCCTCAAGGAATCTGGGCCCCAAGTTCATCAAAACAACAAGAGACCCAAAGGCTGCCAACTACAATTGTTTAGCACAATAGGGTGGTGATCCAGAGAGGAAGAGCCAACCGCTGCTACCTTGCCTAACATGACAAGTATATAAATGTGTGAAGGTCTATAACAAAGGGGACGTTAATACGTTGCTAAATATATAAACACAAAATAAAGCACTAAACAATGTATATAAATTGGATAGGTTTAGATTAAGGAAAGAGCTGGGAAGATACTTGCTTTTAAATAGAATGATTAATCTATAAAAAAAAAAATAACGGGTAAAACAAATTAAAGATGTGAAAACCCATCATTTTCTCTAGGGGAGGTTAAACCTATTTCTGAATGGGTTTGAGTAGATATAAGCAGGAGCTGCGCCGTATAGTTTTCAGTTGCATATTGGCTTGAGGACCATTCAAGCTTGTTGGCATTTGTGTTGCTCGCGTGGCCCCACCAAGTGGTGGTGGTTCGATGAAATAACTATGTCCAAGTTGGCCACCGAGCGCTGTAGGGTCTTGGATAAATAGTCTCACGACTACCAAGATTTTTGTAGAGTCGTGTGGTCTAGTGGTTAATTAACCAGGTACGCCATGGTGCTGCTCCTGGCTGCCTGGGTTCGAATCCTTCTGGGGTGTGGAATTTTCAGTTATATATATATATATATATATATATATATATATATATATATATATATATATATATATATATATATATATATATATATATATACATATATATATATATATATATATGTCGTACCTAGTAGCCAGAATGCACTTCTCAGCCTACTATGCATGGCCCGATTTACCTAATAAGCCAAGTTTTCCTGAATAAATATATTTTCTCTAATTTTTTTCTTATGAAATGATAAAGCTAACCATTTCATTATGTGTGAAGTCAATTTTTTTTATTAGAGTTAAAATTAACGTAGATATATGACCGAACCTAACCAACCCTACCTAACCTAACCTAACCTATCTTTATAGGTTAGGTTAGGTTAGGTAGCCGAAAACGTTAGGGTAGGTTAGGTTAGGTTAGGTTAGGTAGCCGAAAACGTTAGGGTAGGTTAGGTTAGGTAGTCGAAAAACAATTAATTCATAAAAACTTGGCTTATTAGGCAAATTGGGCCTTGCATAGTAGGCTGAGAAGAGCGTTCTGGCTACTAGGTACGACATATATATATATATATTTATATTCACAAAAACACTGATCTAAGTATGCGGAAAAGCCACATTTGAAGAATTAGAGAATGCTGTAAGCGTTTTCGGCTCATTTCGCCTTCATCAGAGCAAGATAGTGGGGGGGGGGGAAGATGATTGATGAAGATTAAGCCACCCGAGAGGTAACACGGGCATGAATAGCCCGTAAGTGAGGGAAGATTTAGTGGGCAAATCATACAGTCAGTCCCCAGTGGGAGACAGGTCACCTGACCACCTGGAAATGGGGATGAAACCATACTTTTATTAAGGAGAAAGGGGGGGGGGGGGGGGAGAAAAAGAGGAAGGAAGAACAAAGAAAGGAAGATAGCGTGAACAAATGTTCTTTCCTCTCATCAAAAACACAGGAGAATATCGTTTAATATAAAAGTGCCGCCGGTCAAAAAAAACAAAAAACGTGGTAAATGTATGTTACATTGTACTGACGCGGTATAATGTAGTTTATATGGGGGTCTAGTCTGTATATGTCAGGGCTTACATTAGGGATGCTGTCACGTTGTTCACGGCTGACTCAATAAAATTTCGTCCAAAGAAACCCTTACTTAAGAACATAAGAATATAAGTAACTGCAGCAGGCCTATTGGCCCATACGAGGCAGCTCCCATTTATAACCACCCCATCCCACTCACGTACATGTCCAACCCACGCTTGAAACAATCAAGGGACCCCACCTCCACACGCTACGCGGTAATTGGTTCCACAAATAAACAACCCTGTTACCGAACCAGTATTTACCCAGATCTTTCCTAAATTTAAACTTATCCAATTTATACCCATTGTTTCGTGCCAAATGCATTACTTTTAACAATACATTTGGGCCCTCTGAAGTCGATAGAATGATGACATCAACTGGAATGTGAATACAATGTACTAGAGAGCTGGGCTGTACGAATAGCATAAGAGTTGGTTTAAACGTGAGGAAAGATATTTACCAGTGTTGTTGATATAAACAATAGACCCGCCATGCCAGGGATGGAGCACACACAACCCGCTACAGATGGGGCACAGTTCTTAATTAAAATGTACTTAACTGTGTTATTATTTTTGAACACTGGGTTAACATTAAGGGTTGTAAGGGCTGGGGCAGGTTTTGGTAGTCCTTCAAAATACGATAAAACTAGTTTTTTTTTTTTAGTTCCGGTTTAAACTTGGGAGTACGTTTACAACACGTCCATTTAGCTCCCACAAACGCAACACCCAAGAAAGATTTGGGATATTTTAACTTTCCTCTCAATTTCATATATTTTTGGTATTTCTTCATAACAAAATTCCGGGCTGCAAATTCTTAGAGCACTGAGAAACATTTTTTTTTTTTCATGAGCCACAATCAGAGCAAGAGCCATACTTGGTGTACCCCGCCTGACCCCACAACACTCTTGTGGTCAAGAGTGTTGTGATGCACGCTGGCGTGGGGAGTATTGAGCGTGGACACCTGTACAGCAGCACAGGTCACAGCACCGCTCCTGTGCCAGGTACGTCCACTACGGGCTCACCATATACTGCTACTTGGGGAATTTTGTTCCAAGAAGCTGAACCTAAAACAACATCCTGTATACCAGACTGAAGGCTGATAGGCACGTACAGGTAAATACAATAAGCACTACGTCTCACCACGTAGTGCTTATTCTATTATATATATATATATATATATATATATATATATATATATATATATATATATATATATATATATATATATATATATATATATATATATATATATATATATGTCGTACCTAGTAGCCAGAACTCACTTCTCAGCCTACTATGCAAGGCCCGATTTGCCTAATAAGCCTAGTTTTCATGAATTAATGTTTTTTCGACAACCTAACCTACCTAACCTAACCTAACCTAAAGTTTTCGGCTACCTAACCTAACCTAACCTATAAAGATAGGTTAGGTTAGGTTAGGTAGGGTTGGTTAGGTTTGTTCATATATCTACGTTAATTTTAACTCCAAGAAAAAAAAAATTAACCTCATACATAATGAAATGGGTAGCTTTATCATTTCATAAGAAAAAATTAGAGAAAATATATTAATTCAGGAAAACTTGGCTTATTAGGCAAATCGGGCCTTGCATAGTAGGCTGAGAAGTGCGTTCTGGCTACTAGGTACGACATATATATATATATATATATATATATATATATATATATATATATATATATATATATATATATATATATATATATATATATATATATAAAATTGATAAAATGGAAGGGAGGTGGAGATTGGGATGAACACGAGGAAAGAGGAAACAGGTGTTGCGTGTAAGGTGAGAGAGTGGGAGGAACTAGAGGGGGAACACTAGAGGCTACACCAGCGGTGCTCTACAACCTGCCATCACCACAACCTTCCTGCTCCATCACAACCTTCCCTACAACATTATAGTAACTTCAGGTTTACTACCATGTGGTGCGGCCTGAAGGTCATGTTGAGTGGCCCACTCCCCCGAGGCCACACTCCCCCGAGGCCACACTCCCCGAGGCCACACTCCCCCGAGGCCACACTCCCCCGAGGCCACACTCTCTCGAGGCCACACTCTCCCGAGGCCACACTCCCCCGAGGCCACACTCTCCCGAGGCCACACTCCCCCGAGGCCACACTCCCCCGAGGCCACACTCTCTCGAGGCCACACTCTCCCGAGGCCACACTCCCCGAGGCCACACTCCCCCGAGGCCACACTCCCCGAGGCCACACTCCCCCGAGGCCACACTCCCCCGAGGCCACACTCCCCCGAGGCCACACTCCCCCGAGGCCACACTCTCCCGAGGCCACACTCCCCCGAGGCCACACTCCCCCGAGGCCACACTCCCCCGAGGCCACACTCTCTCGAGGCCACACTCTCCCGAGGCCACACGAGGCCCCCCGAGGCCACACTCCCCCGAGGCCACACTCCCCCGAGGCCACACTCCCCCGAGGCCACACTCCCCCGAGGCCACACTCCCCCGAGGCCACACTCCCCCGAGGCCACACTCCGCCAACAATATAATACATAGTTCATGTTCCCCCAGGTAACGTTCTCATGGGACAAAATAAACGTTCTCACCCCAGGTTACGTTCTCATGGGACAAAATAAACGTTCTCACCCCAGGTTACGTTCTCGTGGGACAATATAAACGTTCTCCCCTAGGTTACGTTCTCATGGGACAATAAACGTTCCCCTCAGGCAACGTTCTCGTTGGACAAAATAAACGTTGTCACCCCAGGTTACGTTCTCGTGGGACAATATAAACGTTCTCCCCTAGGTTACGTTCTCATGGGACAAAATAAACGTTCCACCCAGATTACGTTCACGTGGACAAGATGTGTCGGCAAGGTGGGGAAGTGTTAATATGAAGACGCTGGCCAGGAGCCCCCGAGACAGACAGACACAGACACCATTGATGGCACCAACGCACCTTTAACCAGAGCGGCCCAGCGGAGCCGGTAAAATGCACCCTCATGGCTTCCTAAGAATCACCTCCATATTCCCATTCTTACTGGTCAAGGCGTTCCTGCGGCCATTCTTACTGGTCAAGGCGTTCCTGCAGCCATTCTTACTGGTCAAGGCGTTCCTGCGGCCATTCTTACTGGTCAAGGTGTTCCTGCGGCCATTCTTACTGGTCAAGGCGTTCCTGCGGCCATTCTTGCTGGTCAAGGCGTTCCTGCGGCCATTCTTACTGGTCAAGGCGTTCCTGTGGCCATTCTTACTGGTCAAGGCGTTCCTGCGGCCATTCTTACTGGTCAAGGTGTTCCTGCAGCCATTCTTACTGGTCAAGGCGTTTCTGCAGCCATTCTTACTGGTCAAGGCGTTCCTGCAGCCATTCTTACTGGTCAAGGCGTCCCTGCGGCCATTCTTACTGGTCAAGGCGTCCCTGCGGCCATTCTTACTGGTCAAGGCGTCCCTGCGGCCATTCTTACTGGTCAAGGCGTCCCTGCGGCCATTCTTACTGGTCAAGGCGTCCCTGCGGCCATTCTTACTGGTCAAGGCGTCCCTGCGGCCATTCTTACTGGTCAAGGCGTCCCTGCGGCCATTCTTACTGGTCAAGGCGTCCCTGCGGCCATTCTTACTGGTCAAGGCGTTCCTGCGGCCATTCTTACTGGTCAAGGCGTTCCTGCGGCCATTCTTGCTGGTCAAGGCGTTCCTGCGGCCATTCTTACTGGTCAAGGCATTCCTGCGGCCATTCTTACTGGTCAAGGCGTTCCTGCGGCCATTCTTGCTGGTCAAGGCGTTCCTGCGGCCATTCTTGCTGGTCAAGGCGTTCCTGCGGCCATTCTTACTGGTCAAGACGTTCCTGCGGCCATTCTTGCTGGTCAAGGCGTTCCTGCGGCCATTCTTACTGGTCAAGGCATTCCTGCGGCCATTCTTACTGGTCAAGGCGTTCCTGCGGCCATTCTTGCTGGTCAAGGCGTTCCTGCGGCCATTCTTGCTGGTCAAGGCGTTCCTGCGGCCATTCTTGCTGGTCAAGGTGTTCCTGCGGCCATTCTTACTGGTCAAGGCGTTCCTGCGGCCATTCTTACTGGTCAAGGTGTTCCTGCGGCCATTCTTACTGGTCAAGGTGTTCCTGCGGCCATTCTTGCTGGTCAAGGCGTTCCTGCGGCCATTCTTACTGGTCAAGGCGTTCCTGCGGCCATTCTTGCTGGTCAAGGCGTTCCTGCGGCCATTCTTACTGGTCAAGGCGTTCCTGCGGCCATTCTTACTGGTCAAGGCGTTCCTGCGGCCATTCTTGCTGGTCAAGGTGTTCCTGCGGCCATTCTTACTGGTCAAGGCGTTCCTGCGGCCATTCTTACTGGTCAAGGCGTTCCTGCGGCCATTCTTGCTGGTCAAGGTGTTCCTGCGGCCATTCTTACTGGTCACAGCAAGAATGTCACAGTCTGTCTCTATTCTTAGTATAACGCCCCAGTTTCTCTGACTCTTTAATTACATTATTACAAAGGAGAAAAGATAAAGATGAGAAGATATGAGAGAAACAGAGAGTTTGAGATTAAAAGAAGGAGATAGAAAGAGATAACACACTAAGACTGAAAATAAAGACCGTGACAGTAAAAAAAACATTGCCTGAAAACAAAAGACAGTCGTTGACAGAAATAAAGACTAAGAAAGAGAAACAAAAGCTAAGACACTGAGAAACGACTGAAAAAGAGATGTGAAAAGCCAAGACACTGAAACGTAAAACGTAGAGAGGATAAAGAGGGAGGAAAGATAAGGTACAAGACTATACTAGATTAAGAGAGAAAAGGGAAGGATAAAAGAGAAGGTGAACCTAAATCAAATATTTAACACAACACACAGAGAAAATTGTATGCATTTATTTCAACAAAACTATATCTGAAAGGTTAGGTTAAAGATCTTATATTCAACAATTATGGTCCACCAACACATGCATAAGCACCACAACTTTAACAACTACACCTTGAAATGGTTAAATACCTCATCTATAAAAAAAACACTAGAAATGCATAAACATCTTTCTTAAACAATATTCCTTGAAATGCATAAACACCTATTTGAGCAGTTAACCCTTCAAATGAATAAATTACCCATATATAACAAATATTGCTTGATAATGCTTAAATACCCTAATCTTAACCATATACCCCCCCTTGAAACGGATAAGCACCATATCTTTAACAAATACCCCTTGAAATGCATTCACACCATATATAACAATTAACCATTTAAAATGAAGCAAAATGTATATGAAACACATACGGAAAACGTAAATGATCTGAAGAAAACGCATATGTATATGATTAGATGATAAAAGTAAAAATAAAGTGTATTAAAACTAGATGTTGTAAAATAGACTTTCCTATATATTATCTGAACAGAATGAGTAAATATATAATATGTGAAGGTTATGTGTGGTGTGATAAGATAAGAGGAACACAAAATGCTAGGTGGGAAGTGTACAAGTAAGATATATGGTGTGAAACATAGTCAAACACTGATAACATGCTGGTCTTAATATCCTTACATTGAGTTGATATAACGTTTTACTCATTTATACACGTTGCATAAGTTTATTACTACATAAAGTTGTATATGTTTAGGTTTATATAATACTTACAGTTGATTGTGACAAGACAATGACCTGTCTTTGTAAGTTTTATTACTACCTAAAAGCAATGATAAGTTTAAAATAGGAAAAAGGTTTAACTGACTTTTCATTTATTGAATGATTAACTATGTTAAGAGTGAGAGTTTATTTAATGCACCAAGAACATCTAAAGAGTAAATCTTTCATATAAAATGCTGTTAGAGAATGCAAAATGATAATTAAATTATAACAGTATTATTATTGTCTTGGAGGGATTCTTTATGTGCACGAAGATGAGATGTGAGAAACATTTGAAGCATAAAGATGTCTTAGCAAGTACAAATGTTAATTAAAAGATTTTGGAACGTGTTATTGCTGACTAAGAGAGAGAAACTTTAAATGCTGAAGATGGTAGAGTATCTTTTATAAGTAAATACATCACAGTGAGAGATTTCTTGGGCTTTAAAATTGTCTTTAATGATTCTGAGAATAGCTTTTGATAGTGTGACTAGTGTTTGTTGACTTTGTGTATATTCTTAATGTCTATGAAAATAACTTTTTATGACATGAATAGTATTTTGATGACTCTGAGCGTGACATTGGAGAATAAAGATGACATAAAAGTAACATTCAATGTGCAAAGATGTTTCAGAGATATATTTTAGTTAAGAAATGATTCAAAGAAGAATTACCTATTTTCAGTAGTACAAAGTGAAATGATAATTAAGAAACATTGAGAAAAGATTGTCTTAGTAAATATGTAACTGCATAAAGCATTCATTTGTTTAAGAACATAGATGGTATGAAATAATGAGTTGATAAGCGTAACATAGTTACAATAATGTACCTTGTCAATTTAATTTTGGTGAATGGATAAATAAAATACTTTGCAACTAAAATATATACAATTTGAACTAACTAAAAATCAATTTGATGATAAACAATAATGCTGCTGATAATACGTAACAATGAACTAGTTACTGAATGGAAGAAACAACAAAAACTTGACATTCTGAAAACGTGTCACTAAGCAAAAAAAAAAAAAAATCAAAATTGTCACTGCAAAAACTAAAGTCACTAAAAATATCTTGTTACTCTGGAAAAACAAAGTCACTGCAAAAACTGATTTTGCCAAAAAAAATTGTCACTGCAAACTCACTGCAAAAACTCGTTACTTTGCAAAAATAAGTTGCTATGCAAAAATACTTGTCACTGCAAAAACTAAGTCACTGCATGAACTATGAAGATATGATAGAATATAGTGTGCTCTAGGAAGATCGATATGATTAGACACTGATGTGAGTCAGTCTGCATACTACATAGTAGACTAAAAACAATAATAATAAGAATGGATGTATACCTCACCAGTAAAAGCTTGAGAATTGTATGGAATGGGAACAGATTTTTTAGACCAGTATGCAATGTGAATGCCCCCATATGCGGGGATAGCCAAGTACTGATAGGTCAGTACTCTCACTCATCTACGCTCACCCCACCGACTCATACATCTGCTCACTGCATTCCTGGTCAGTCTTGCACCACCCTCCATGACAGCCGCACGCTCGCTCACTCACTACACGCGAAATAAACGATCTTGAGCAATATGTTTGGAAAGCACAGACAGGCAAGTACACACAGATGAATGACACACTGCACACAGGCTCATCCACACTTATGTATGGGTGCTTGCACACTATTATCTCACTCTCGCGCTTATCTGTGCACTCTCCAATTTTTCTTCTCTCACACTCTTCACATGCAGAAATAGTCTGACTTATGCAAAATCAGCACATAACATGGAGTACAAACAGTGAATCTTTCATGCTTAAATATCAATGTTGAAAGATATAGAACAATAGACTTTTGTAATATTTATAAGACATAAAATCCAGCGACGGGTAGTGTTTGTCTTATGAGTAAGGTCTCGTAGATTATATGATACGATACAGATGGGTGGTTGTAGGATGGAGTAGTAAAGCCGATAAAGATGACTTAGTTGACTGATACTATATAAACAGTAAAGAGTCTGAAAGAATGAGATGTAATATTTATAACTCATAATACACAACGCTGAGTTGGAGATTTGTTTATAAAGATAACTGAGTTATTTCTCAGTAAAATGACTTGGTAAAATATTGATAATATGTCTCTGTTGACTAATTATTACTCTTCCATTCAATTCCAATTTGAATGGAATGTATGGTTGGGAGGGGGGGGGGGGCGGAGGTCAAGCGAGCTCATTTGCGGTGGAGGGTGAAGGCTGATTGGTGTCTGGGACATGGAGGCTGCGGCAGGTGGTGACTAGTAGAACTGGCAGGTGGTGCTGGTGGTAAGTGTCCATAGCAAACGAAAAAGAGTTTACTATATAAAAAATACCAAACCCGGGTTCTCTCTCATACCACCTGGTATGGAATATTATGATCCAGAATGTTCTATCTACACATGGGAGAGTGAGAGGTGGAACCACAGGTTGGGACCTGACCCAAGCACATGGTCGAATCCCCTGGGGGGATTGGCGGTGGAAATAACTGGCGCCTTTGTTCACAGTTTTGTATAATGAATTATTCCACATTATTCAGTAATTTTGAGAAATTAGTCTTCATTCAAACTTTATAGTATTACTGTTTATAGTATCGAGAGGATCCTAATTGTCAGGATAATGAGTTAAGTCACCATCAGTGACGTCACTAGCGGGACTAGTCTCTGCCGCGCAATCATTTGGCCGACCTGAGGTCACAAGGGTCACCAAAGCTCCATATTTTTGGTATTTTCTCGAAGGTCAAATAGCCATTTTGTAATCGGAAATAGCTCTTCCCTAGATGCTTGTGTAATTAACTTCAGTTAAAAGAATTCAACCAATCTGGGTCATTCAGTACAACAGAGATTAGTTGTTCAACTTAAACCCTACGAGTAACTTAGTAAACTAGGCAGAAGAATACCCTGCTCTGGCTTCTGTGTAGAGTAGAGCAAGGGAAAGACAGTGTGGTACAAGGAACGACTCGAGAAGGTGGCCACTCCACCTCTCCCCAAGATAAGCAGTCCACTGTGCTGGTCGCCTAAAAAGGTAGAGTTGTTAAGAGTTTTAGTATAGGGAAATAGGTCATCTCATTGCCGGTTCATGTAGGAAGTGTTCAACCAGGGAGTGCTTTGATTTAGATTTTGTTTAGTTTTGAATAAACTATTTAGCTAGTAAATTGTCTTTTTATTAATTTCCATTTTTTGTAAAATTTATTTACATTGTCCGAGACCACGTGGGGTCCAAGAGGCCGAGTTGAGTTGGGCCGCAGATTCTAACACCAAGTAAGAATTCATTGTCCCTTTGATTTCTAATAATTCCACACAACGTAAAATTCAACCCTCCCATATATTACTAGTGGGGATCAAGCCCCCAAGGTTTATTGGTTAGCATGATCGATCCAGACCTCGATTATTGCTCAGTGGTAATGGTCTGGTGGTGGCAGGGCAAGGCGATTCTAGAGTTTTGCTAGAAGTCTGTTTTCACGTCATAAGGGTTGTAGAATCTTAAGCCGGTCAAACAGTTTAAGACCACGTGGCGTGGGGTCGGCTCAAGTATAGCTCTGGGGTCCCTTGGTTTGAGTAAGTGAGTAAAGAATATGGACAGGGTGAAGGTAAAAGAAGATTAAAAGTAAGAACGAACAACACCCATGTTACAATGTGGTGAGGGTTGTGTCTCTCACAAGGTGTGGGTTGTTTCTCTCTCTCTCTCTCTCACAAGGTGTGGGTTGTGTCTCACAAGGTGAGGGTTGTGTCTCACAAGGTGAGGGTTGTGTCTCACAAGGTGTGGGTTGTGTCTCTCTCTCTCTCTCTCTCTCTCTCACAAGGTGAGGGT